GTGGGGAAAGGCCCCCCCCATCCCCTGCAAACCAGCCTCGCTGTCTCTCATGGCGATTTGCCTGATGGTTTCATCACCCACCAGATGGGCAACGCGTCAATGACAGCCTCTCCCACCACCCCACAACGCACAAACGAGCCAAAAACGGCCTTTTTTTACCCTCCCAAGCCAGGGCCACGCTTGGGAAACAACAGCTCGGTCCCAGCAAACAGCAGCAGCGCTAGAGGAGCATCCGCCCGGCGTCCTTACCGCAGGGTCCCTTGTGCTTCACGCGGATGTCCCTGCGCAGGACGCAGGCCATGGAGCGCAGCTCGCAGGGGTTGCCGTAGGTGCGCTCGTCGGTGCCGCACACCGGGTCGTAGCGGCCCTGGCAGACCTGCTGGCACTCGCACACGGCCTCCTGGTTCTTCACCACGCACGTGGCCCCGAACGCGCACTCGGCGCTCAGGCAGGGGCTGGGGGTGCCCAGGTCTGCAGGGATGGGGATAGAGAAGCACAGGGCTCAGTGCATGGCCCTCCTGAGCCCCGCGCTGGCCGCCCCCAAAGCCATGGCCAACACGCAGCATTCCCAGTCCCCGTGTCCTCCGTGCCAGCTCCACATGCCTGGCTCTGCATCTTTCCCATGCACGGGGAGGTCGGGGCGAGGAAGCACAACGCCTTTTCCCTGCATCCCACAAGCAGGGTGTTAGTTTTCCACCCCTCCATCCTCATCCCAGCTACCTTCTGCCTCGAGGATGCAGCCGGGGCTTGCAGGAAGGTAGGAGCAGCCCTGCAGATTTCGCATGAGTTTCTGCAGCAAACCCTGCTGTTTTGGTGCTCGAGGTTCTGTAGAGCCACGAGCCTCCCTCTGAAGCCCAGCCTGAGCAATCAGCCCCGTGGCAGGACGCAGGGGAAGGAAGTCCTCAGCTGGGGCCTCCGTTGGTACCGGTACCGTGGGATGATGCGCTCGGCGTCCAGCTGGTACCAGCTTTCAAACTCAGCAGCCAAAAAGGCTACAGAGCAACAATCCACATCCCTAGAGGCAATTTCCCCCCTAAATTTCCTCGTAACATCTCCCATGACCATGCCCAGGAAGACACGGAAACGATGTCTTACCCTCTCTCTCCTCCTCTCCCCTTCCCCTCCTCTTGCATCTCCTGGTGGGAATGCAAGGGATGAAGGCACTTGATGACCTCAGATATCCTCAAGCCCTGAGGGTCCCTGCAGATGATTAATGCCCTGCAGCATCGTTTGCAGGCTGAGACAGAACCTCCTCCACTCACTTCATGAAGCCGCTTAATTAAAGCCAGTGGGCAGGGAACGGACAGAAAGAGCATCTTCACCAGGCACGGACAAGGACATATGACAACAGGGATGTGGGGGACAGAGAATGCAGCAAGAGCAAGGTGGATGCAACAGGCAGACGCAGGACAGCCTTGGTGACAACCAACATAGCAAGGCAGACACAGGACAAGGGCAGGGAGAGGAACCAAAATGCTGCTTTCCTCTCCTCGGGGACAGATGTGACACATCCACAGAGCGGGAACGAGGCTTGTGCCCTTCGGAGTTTGGATCCCTGCCATCAACCAGGGAGAGAAGGGCTCGTAACATGGGTACCCCCAAGGCTGAATTTTGAATTTGGCCTCTGGCAAGCACCTATGGAGCCAAAACGGAGAACCCAGGGACTGCAAAACAGCAGGGCTAGGGAAGGGGGCTGCAGTGCAGGCAAAGGGCCACTCCTTCAACCCTTCGTTTCTCATCCGTTTGCCTGCAGCTGGAGGGCATCCAGTAGTTCCAGAACAGACAACCAGGACACGCCATGGGGAGCAAAGAGACAAGTCACCAAGTCCCCGGTAGGCAGAAGTCTCTAGGAAGGAGGAGGTGGGTGGGAGAAGGGGTTAGTTGCAATTAAAAGACCAGGAGCAGCCCAAAGTTACATCTTAGCCAACCTGGACGTGCTGAGGAGCGTCGGGGATCAGACTCCCTTGGCCTCTGCTTTTTGTCTATGAAGGTCAAACCCAAGCAAGCATTAGGAAAGACCCCATGGCACTGCAAGGCATTTTCATTCCAGCAGGAAGTGTTTGGGAAGAGGAACAAACCCAGGGGCCTCTCTCCATCCCGGGGGCTCTTTGGCAAAACCAGAGAAGAGGGGAGCAGTGGGAAGGGGCCAGGACTGCCACTGGCTACGGAGAAGGGAAGAAAGCCGACCTCCTGGCAGAGATGTCCAGATAGGAAAGGTGCTGCGAGGACACAATTCCATTCTCCAAACAGGCAACACTGTAAAACACAAGACACAGACGAAAAAGGAAAGAGAGAGAAAGAGCAGAGGAGAAAAAGAGTGGAGAAGGAAACAGAAAGAGAAGTGGCAGGGAGGAAAAGACAGATGCAACTACAGATACCTTCCCTCCACCTCCTGTCCAACGTCTTATCCCATCCCTGCTTTCTCAGCTTTGTCATGGGACAATCTCTGGCTTCTGATACAGATGCAAAAGTAGAAAGGAATTAAAAATTAGGCCTGGGCTGTTTTGCTTGGCTTTGCCTCCTTTGCCATGCTGCCGGAGAAGAGCATGAGAGTCAGGAGCTCATTAGGCACCAGGAGTTCCTTAGGCAGGTGTGTGTGCAAGATTAAAGTATATTCCTGTCATTGTAGTAATTGCTTGTCTTGTTCCCTTCCTTCCACGAGACCCTGGAAGCACCTTGGTTCTAGGTATTTGTGGGATACTTGCAATAAGGAGGCATCGGTGAAATCCTTGGATTCACTGTGCTGGCTGCAAAAAGATCTTGCAGGTCGCTCAGCTCACTTGCCAAGGGACCCCTGCCATGGGCTGGGCTCTTCATCTGCACCCTGCAACCCAACAGAGCCTTGGCCAGGATGCCAGGGATGAGAGGAGCGATCCCCAGCACGCAGCAAAGACCCATGTTGACCTAGAGCAGCAACAACCAACATCGCTGCCACCTGAATTTGCTTTTCATTCTGCACTGGGAACATCCAAGAGGAAGGAGTGTCACCCCCTCGGGCAGCAATGAGCTCAGAGAGCCTTGGGGTGGTCTCCTACAGGGCAGCCTGGACCCATCATATGGGCTTTGAACCTCTGGGACTTGGCAGAGCCAGCCCATGTGGACACAAGCCTTCGGCTTCGCTCCTCCTCTTCCCAAACCCAAGGGAGCCTGGAGTGTTCCCATGCCAACCCGGGAGACCTGGAGCTCAAGCAATAAAACTGCAGCCGCACAACACGGGGAGGGGAATAAACTCCAGATCTGCCAAGGCGCACGGCTTCTTACAAAGCTTTGCTGGTCCCCATCCAGCATCAGCTTCCAGGATCACACAGAGGAATAAAAAGCATCTCTGTTGCCCTTCTTGTAGGAAAAACTTGAGGAAGCAGCTCCTAATGGTTCAACAACCAGAAACGCACTGGAATGAACGATTCAAAATAGCATTTGTGATTATTTTAAGTGGGATTTTGGGAGCATGACAGACAATTTTCAAGCAGCTGGTGCTAGTGATATTAAAAACTGCAGGAGCCCAAAGCCAGCAAAACAGACCCAAAATACTGGCCTATTCTGGCCAAAATACCAGCCAGAATCTATCGGTACTTTAGAAGGCTTGAAATATCTGATACCTTGTAAAGCATCAGCTTAAAACAGGACACAGTTTTATATCTCTAGCAGGAAATAGATCCAAACTGAAATAAGCAGTCATTCAAACTCATGCAAATCAATCCCGTGACTGTGTTTAGCCTCCTCCAGTTTCTGTGCAGTAATTAAAAAGAAAAAACAGATGTTCCCAGCACCACAGGAAACCAAAGACCCATCCTAGCTTCCATCGGAAAGGCCAAAAGCTTCTCCCGGAGACGAAACGGAGCCGTGGAGAGCTCCGGAGAGCGAGGAGATCCTTATGGAGAGCAAGGAGATCCTTACGGAGAGCACCTGGAGCTGAAAGAAGCAGGCGGGCGTGGAGGGGAAGCATGAGGGGAGTTTGGGACTGGCACTACCCTTGGAGGAGGGATGAAGAGCGTGGGCTGCATAGGGATGAGCTGGTTGAGGGGTGAATGAATGAGAGGAAGGGACTGGACATCAGAGACACTTTGGATTTGTTCAAACACAAGACGATTCTTTGCTTTGGTAACGAACACATTAGACGGAGACAAGACCAAGCAAGAGCACACACACACAAACAGACAACCAGCAACTGCTGGAAGGAGAAAGGACAGACAGAAATTCAGGGCTGGAGCTTGCTCAGCCTACGGGACCCTTCTCATGACCTACCTGGAGCTTCCTGGCACCTCCACAGGATGCCGGCCAGGAAGGGGCCGGCACTGG